TGGAATTACAGCTCCCGTAGTAGCTACAATACCTTCGCTACGTGGGTTCAAAGTGCCACCGTTCGACGGGACTTCTTCCTAGTCAGCTTATAAAATCCAGTTTGAAGCCGTTATGAAGGCGAACGGCTGGAATAAAAGCCAGGCCATGACTGCTCTCACACTAGGCCTGCGCGATCAGGCCTTAATAGTTCTGGAAGCTCTCGGTGAGGAAATGACTTATGAGCAACTCCTTGAGGCATTGGAGGCGAGATATGGTGACGCTCACCTGGAACACGTCTTTCGTGCGCAGCTTAAAGATCGCGTGCAGCGCATCAACGAAAACCTGCAGCAGTGGGCTCCAGAGGTGGAGAAGCTGGTGCGAAAAGCATACCGGTCTGTACCTGCGCTCATTGAAGGGAACCTGGTGCAGACATTCATCGACGGCATTCCGCGACCTGGAAGTCAGAGCTGCTGTGAGGCTCGGGCACCACGAGACGCTTAAGGACGCCTTAGCCCATGCACTGGAAGTGGAAGCCGTGCGACAGGATCATCGTTACCATCGCGTCAGGGAGTTACAGCAGCTACAGTTCGCGACCGCAACAAAGGATACAGCCCTAGGTGCTATGGCTGTGGGGAAAAGGGCCATCTTCGATCCAGCTGCCCTAAGCGAACCCTAGAAAGGGAAGGTGAACGATCTCAGGAGGGTAGTGCGGCCAACAGCACCGCCCAGCAGCAGCAGGGAAACGAGTAAAAGCCAGAACTGCGGGGCGGGTGCTGGCTGATGTTAAAAGAGCCCCAAGGATCTCGATCTCACATACCCATGATGGGAACAGTCTAATCATCAAGGGCGAGGTCAACGGAATGCCGTGTAAACTGACCATAGACACTGGAGCCTCTCGTACGGTTGTTATTTCCCAACTTATAAGTCTGTTCCTTGGGGACTTCGCATACAACCGAGAACGCATTAATTTGGTAACAGCCACCGGTCAGCGTATACCCGTCCGTGGAGAGAAGGAGATGAAGTTGAAGCTAGGCAACGTGATCTACCTGCATAATGTCATCGTCGCTGATATAATGGACGACTGCATCCTGGGCCTAGACTTTATGAGGAGTAACTGTTGTGAGATCGACGTTAAGCAAGGTGTTTTGAAATGTGGACAGGAGGAACTTTTTGTGGAATGGGCGATAAGGGAACGTGTACAGCATAAAGAAGATTGTTCTTCCGCCGAGATCGGAAACGATTGTTCCGGTTAGTCTTCCTCAAAACGCTGGGCAAGCTCACCGTTGTGTACTTGTGGAAAGGGCAAACCATGACCTTCCATGGAAAGTAGCTCGAACCTTGGTCAGGACCACTGACATCTCAGGAGTACGTGTGCTGAACCTTTGTGACCGGGGACAGATTATAGAAAAAGGCACGCTGGTTGGTACTTGTGAGGAAGTGAATTGGTTACGTCGGTGCCAATATTATCAGTGAGACCCCCAGCAAGGATGCACAAACGAGAGTGACCACACTTTTGGAAGACTGTCGCAGCGTTCTCTCCCCGAAAGAAATTGTCAAGGCGAAGAAGTTGTTACTCAAGTATGCCGATGTATTCTCATCAAACAATGCTGACATAGGAAAGACTGGCTTAGTTCTACACAAAATAAACACAGGAGAAGAGTTGCCTATCCGTCAGCGGCCAAGAAGATTGCCGGTAGCACGTGAAAAGGAAGTGGGAACCATGATTGAAGGAATAGTGAAGAATGGTGTTATTGAACCTTCCTCTAGTCCATGGTGTTCACCAGTGGTGCTGGTGAAGAAGAAGGATGGCAACATGCGGTTTTGTATTGACTACCGCCGTCTGAACGACGCTACGAAGAAGGACAGCTATCCCTTGCCAAGAATTGATGACACGCTGGATATGCTTACAGGAGTAAAGTGGTTTAGCACGCTGGATCTAAAAAGTGGATACTGACAAGTTGAAATTGACCCTAAGGACAAGGAGGAAACCGCGTTCTCGACGGGAAAGGGTCTGTGGCAATTTAAAGTAATGCCGTTTGGGTTGTGCAATGCTCCAGCAACGTTTGAAAGGCTGATGGAACTTGTACTTACCGGGCTAATTGGCGATGCCTGTCTGGTCTACTTGGATGAGATCATCATCGTAGGCCGTACGTTTGAGGAACACCTTCAAAACCTGGAACGCGTGCTCATGAAGATTCAGAGTGCCAACCTCAAGTTGAGTCCGAAGAAATGTTCACTATTCAAACGGCAAGTTAACTTTTTGGGGTATGTAGTATCGGAAGAAGGTATCCGCACGGATCCAGAGAAAATCGCCGCTGTCAAGGATTGGCCGGTTCCAAAAGACAAGACGCAGGTTAGAGCATTTTTGGGTTTGTGCTCGCTCCTATTACCGGCGATTTGTGAAGAACTTTACAGATATAGCCAAACCTCTGCATAAGCTAACCGAGGAGAAGCGACATTTCTGCTGGGATGAAAGTTGCAATATCGCATTCCAGGAGCTCAAGGACCGTCTGTGCAAAACACCTATTTTGGGATACCCTGATGCAAGCATAGAATTTATAGTTGACACAGACGCAAGTGATACCGGACTCGGCGGTGTGTTGTCTCAACGGAACGGTGATCGAGAGGTTGTGATAGCGTACTTCAGCAAGTCGTTGTCAAAACCGGAAAGGAACTATTGTGTCACAAGACGCGAATTGCTAGCTGTAGTAAAGTCATTGCAACATTTTAGCAAATATCTTCTGGGGCGGAAACATTTCACTTACGAACTGACCATGCTGCACTAAAATGGCTATTACAGTTTAAAAATCCAGAAGGACAAGTGGCGAGGTGGATTGAACTACTGCAGGAATACGACTTTGAGATCGAACATCGCAGCGGGAAATCTCACGGCAACGCAGATGCATTGTCAAGAAGACCTTGTCCTGAAGATTGCAACCATTGTACTAGGCAAGAGAGTAAGGAAGTGGTATCCGTGAGGATGCTCAGAACAGACTACCTCAGCAACGAGTGGAAGGACAGCTTACTACATGCACAGCAGGAAGATCCGGACATCAAGCCGATTCTGGAATGGTTAAAGGCCAGTGCTCCCAAGCCCAAGTGGAGCGACGTCTCAGCGATGAGTTCGACCACTAAAAGCTATTGGGCCCAATGGGACAGCTTGCTGCTTCAGGATGGAGTTCTGTGCCGTAAATGGGAAAATGTTCGGGGAGACAGCTGTTATTTGCAAATGGTCGTCCCTAAAGCTAAAGTACCGGATGTTCTACAGCTGTACCATAATGATTGTTCAGGAGGCCATCTGGGAGTTAAACGAACTCTACTGAAGATCCGAGAACGGTTTTATTGGGTCCACTGTCGAAACGATGTCGAGGACTGGTGTCGCAAATGTACAAGTTGTACAAGGGCCCTCAGACTCAGAGTAGAGGTGCATTGAAGTTGTACAATGTTGGTGCACCATGGGAGAGAATAGCCATTGACGTGGCGGGGCCGTTTCCGGAGAGTGAAAGCGGTAACAAGTATTTCATGGTTGTGATGGATCAATAAGTGGCCAGAAGTCTTCGCAATTCCAAATCAAGAAGCTTCAACAGTTGCAGATAAACTAGTTCATGAAGTCTTCTGTCGTTTTGGAGTACCTTTAGAGATTCACAGCGATCAAGGAAGGAATTTTGAGTCTCAAATATTCCAGGAAACTTGCCGAGTTATGGGTACTCATAAAACAAGAACGACTTCTTATCACCCGCAATCTGATGGAATGGTAGAACAATTTAATCAGACATTGGAGAGGTACCTAGCAAAAGTTGTAGACAGCACATACAACCGTTTTTGTTGTCATATCGAAGCGCTGTACACGAAAGTACATCAGTGACACCAGCTTTCGCAAACTTTGGAAGAGAATTACGGCTGCCTGCAGACCTGATCACCGGGATACCACCTGATGCCCCACGAAGTATAACCGATTATGCAAATGACTTGCGGAACAAAATGAATGACATTTATGAGCACGTCAGACAATCGGGCCAGCAAATGTCTGAAAAGATGAAAGCCCGGTATGACCGCAAAATGAACAACAAAGGGTTCGACGAAGGTTCACTAGTGTGGTTGCACAATCCAGTCCGCAGCAAAGGGAAATCTCCTAAGCTTCAAGCTAAATGGGACTGCCCGTACCGGATTGTGACCAGGATCAACGATGTAACCTACCGGATACAGAAAGGCGCAAGAGGGACTCCTAAGATCATCCATGTGGATCGCCTGGCGCGTTATTGTGGGGTCGATAATGCCCGGGACGAGCATGTCTTAGGAGGGGGCAGTGTTGCGCGGCTAAGTTGACATCTGGCACTAGCGCCATCTGGTGTCGGGTAACAGCGAGGAGAGCTTTCCAGAAAATACATGACTAGTCTCTCAACCAACAGCGCCATCTAGTATCTAACAGAAGAATTAAGCTTTCTGGAAGCCGCACACTCGAATTTTCTGCGCTTGGTCGGTTGGCGCGCGTATTTACTTGCTGAATATTCTGGATGTTTTCGTGGAAGAGCCCTATATAAAGGCGCTGCAATACGCGATCGGGGAAGTATTAAATTTGGCGAGACAAGCGAAGCTTCGGGGCGGAATAAAGTGAATCAGTGTGATTAATTATTAGTGTTTTAAGTTTAATTAGTGTAAAGTGAATTAAAGTGTTAATTTCGGTAATTCAATCGGCAATTTTTATTGTCACGAACCCTAAGCTCGTAACAATAAAAATAATGTTATTATTATCGCCAAACCACACATATTTTTTTTATTATATATTATTTTCATTGTTTTCTTGCAATCTTGTCCATATAAAGGTTGTCTGGAAAAGATCGCTCTTAGCGATATGACCGCCCAGTGTACCACATTTCTTTCTATCCATTTTTTGTTAATTTTTTTGGCGCGCATCTATGTATGTTTCACATGGGGACTATGTGCACAATTTTGGTTTCTAACTATTCTATCACAATTATTGTAATATCTTGTAAATTTCATTTAAACATTATTGTTTTAGGTAAAAAATTGGGTGAAGGAATTAAAGAAAATGCTTGGTTCAGACATTGTTCTAATAATAGCTGGAAACAAAATAGATTTGGAACATGAGAGAACAGTACCACTAGAAGAGGCTGAAAGGTGCATATTTATATTGAATTTCTCTTTTCTGTTTTAAAAATAAGAAACTATGGTGACATAATGCAATAATTGATTCCCTTCACAAATCCACTGCTGAACATAGGTCTTCCCCAAGGAATGCCACAAGGCACGGTCCAGGGCCACCTTTATCCATCAACTTCCTGCATGTCTTACCAGATTTTCACGCTATCTAGTGGGGGGCTGCCCTTTTTTGAGATATATTTTACAAGAAGATGTGTGATAATCTCCCGAACGCTGCCCAGTCGAGTTGAATTCGTCGATTGACCTCTGTGTCGAAGTTGTACTTACCTAAGCGGACTATTTGTCCCAATTAAACATACCCATCAACAACTTAGAGCTTAGTACTCCCAACAACTGTCGGCATAGGTGTGACATGGAGTTTACACATGATCTATGTTTTGTCCATGTTCATCTTAAGACCTATCTATTAGGTGGTTCTATTGAGGCCATAGAGAATGTGCTTAGCTCTTTCATAATAGATTTGTCACATTGAAAACAAACTAACGTGTGTTATCACTCGACCGATACGTAAAGGTGACACTCTACGCATTGTACATACACACATCAAAAAAAGGTTGTGATCAATAGCAAAAGCTGTGTATTTTATGAACCGACTTCAAAAAGGAGAGGTACTCAATAAAGCACTGTATGTTTTTTATGTTACCTTTATGTGTGTCTTTTTTCTAGGTGAACCGAATTTAATGATTCTTTTTTTATTTGAAAACTGGTGCTTTTCGTGTGGCCCCATACATAAATTTGATCAAGATTGAGTTATCCTTAATAGTGCGTATATAATTGACTTGGAATACATTGATGATGTCCTCAATCCTCATTTTATTTATATTGAAGTCCGTTGTACAAATCTTTTAATTTTACCACTTGTTAAACTTACAAAAAGTAGTAAGAAATAAAAATCATTTATAAAAGAAAAAAATTAAAAAAGTTTTAACAAAATAGAAGGAAACGAGATTGAGATTGAAGATTTTGCCAAAACTGCTTACAGTTTGGCAAAATTTGAAATATAATGTACACTGTTTATGAATAAATTAAAAAAGATCCTCCTGGGCATGCTGAAAATCATGTTATCCAACATTTCTTGCGGTATCATAACTCCTAACCTCATAACTTTTCTCTGGGTGAACTGATTATGATGATTATTTTTTATCTGAAATCTGGTGCTTCTCGTGTGGTCTCGTATAAATTAATTAAGATCTGACCAGTAGCTTTGAACAGTCTTTAATAATGCTTATTTAATTGACTTCTAATACATTGATTCGGTATTATTGAAGTCGGTTGTACAGAGTTTAAAATTTTACCACTTGTTGACTAACAGCTTCCCTCATCTCCGGCACTGTCTGGGGTGGTGGCTGACGGTTCAAAACAGCTCGCTTTAGGGCATCCCACGCGTGCTCTATTGGGTATAAGTCAGGCGAGCCTGCAGGTCACTCTAACCTTGTGATGTATTCTCGGAGAGCAGCATTGACTCATTGAGCTCGATGTGAGGGCGCATTATCATCGACCAGAACGATTTGTTGCCCGTGGTATTACTCGGAATGGTCTGCCAATTCCATCAATAGCGACTTTTTTGTACCCATCTGCCGTCACGGAGCCTTGATACGGGGTCAAAGGCGTTCTAGCTCCAATCATAATTCCACTCCAAAACGACACTGATTTCCCGCTTTGCTGAAGGGTTCCAGTAGTAGTTCTTTGCCTTTCAGTCTCCAGGTCTTCTTCAGACACGGACATATCGGTTATCTGGATGAGTCACCTCAAATTCTTCATTTTTCCGAAGCCTAGCCCACTGCAATCTCCGTCGCTGACGTTGGCGTGAGTTTAAAGGTGCCCGCTAAAACCTCCGTGCTCGTAGTCTATCTAGCCTGGTGTAAGCAATTCCGAATGGTCTGACTTCAAATCCAGAGACGACCCGCACTTCTGCTTTTATGGTAGTGGCATTGATGGTTGGGTCACAGGTGCCAATAATCTGATATAGCGCTTCTGAGCAGCAGTCGGAACAGTTGAACAACCAAATTAAACTAAATTATCCATACCATGTTGCGTCTGTAAAGTGGCCACGAAACAGGATTGCGATACAATAACTCTGCGTGCTATTTCTCTCGTAGAATGTCCTTCTTCCCAAAAAGTTACAGTTCTTGCTCGTAAAACTTATGATTCTCTCTTGCCATTTTTTCAATCACAACTTTCATCAAAAAAATATTTTAAATCCGTTAAAATTGACTGAGTCAGATTTCTGAATGAGCATAAGCTTGGATTGAATTTCTTTATTATGCAATAACAATTGAATTTGTCTTTTTGTTTTATATTCTAATTCTATATTTTTAGTAAAGAATCTAAAAAGAAGAAGAAATTATAATATAGTCTATCGTAACAACAAAGATTTCGATTTTTCAAACTGATCGCAAACTTTTTTTAATGTGTATATGTATCAAATTATTTGCCGCATACTATTCATCAATGTTTGAACTTTTATTATAATTTTAGCTATTCGACGATGGTTGGTGCCAAACACTATTACACATCGGCAAAGTTAAACCAAGGCGTCGAGGAACTGTTTCTAGATTTAACTCGAGAGATGGTGGAAAGATTTGAACAGAACGCCCAAGCCGATGTATCCAGGACTTCGCGGGTGCTAGTTGTTGACGACGAATCACCAGTACAGACCTCGTGTTGCTCGGGCACTAGAAGTACCTAAAACAAAAAATAATGTAAATTATACAATATTTGAAGTTCTACATAAACGAAGTGGTATTTTTATATGTATATATTGTAAGTGATGTCAAGTTGTATAGCGTGTCGATATGTACCCCTCGTACGAAGGTTCCTGTTTGACGTTTTGCAATGCGCAATTAATAAAGCGAGTTTTTTGTCTATTTAATTAGATGCGATGTAAGCAGCTTCAATTGGACAATTAGTTGGCGTAACATTTTAATAAATGCCAGTTGTCTGGTCTATAATAAACTTTCTACATTCATAATTACTTAACTTTCACAACTCTTAAATCACTGTATCACATTTTGAATGAAGAAAAGATTCAATCTTTATAATTTATGTTTTGGTGTGTAATAGTGCTTCTGAAGATGCAATCGAATGCAAACAATAACTTAATTACATATTCCAAATGTTTTGTAAATTTTGAAACTTGTATCTTCGTTATATGGTTCAAGAGTACATGTGACCTGCTACATCACATTTACAGCCGTGACTTTACATGTCTTTTTCACAGACTTAGAATACTTGAAATCTATGCATGTTTTTCCGTCGTATATCAATTGTGATTATGTAAATATAACTAAAATTAGTTAGCTAATTAATTTTCTCTTTATAAAACATGGAACGAAAATAAGATTATAACACTAATGTTTTCTTTAAATAATGCATTATTATAATGCAAAAAAAAGTATATATAAGCGAAAGAAAATGAGATTGACATCAATATTTTAAAATTGTATTATACTGTGTATATTTATTGCCTTTATTTTTGCGAATTTTTAAACATTTTTAAATAATATGCTGTGTGTTTAATATATTATTGAATTCGATTAACTTCGAATTCGTTATGTCGCGTATATGTCGACACGTCTCGACTGATAGTCACTATAAGTTGTCAAGATAATATTCGCTTTGAGCATTCGACCTTAACGTGTTTCAAGATAAATTTGTATTCATTTTTAGCAATATACAATGCGAATTTCATTCTTTAAAATATGATTGAATTCAGTTATAATTACATTCAATGAACCGACATCGGTCACAGGGACAGCTTTTTGATATCACTGAACAGCTATTAACTATGTATTAATAAATCCTTCTGTACCTATGGGTGTAGATGTGATTGCGAATCAGGTTTGTAGTAGTGATAATACGACGTTATTGCTTGTATGTGTGCTCCCGGCGACGCCTATCGTCGTGTAAAATAGGGTTGACAGCCATTCTATGTTTAGGGGGTATTGTTACACAGCCTCTACACGGTAAACTAATCCATTAACGCTATTTAAATGAATTTCTAAAGGTTGCCGTAGGGTATTGTGTATATTTTGAAAATTACCTTGGGCGTTTAATGTATTCTCGGTATTAGGGTGATTTGCCAGTAATGTGGGTAGTTTTTTTTTATAGGATAGGATGACAAACGAGCACACAGTTCACCTGATGGTAAGTAGTTGCTGTGGCTCATAGATATCTACGTCTATCCTCGATTACGAATCAAAATACGGATGCGTTGTCATCCGTCAGGACTTAGGTGGAATGCCTCGTTTCCAGTAAAAAGTGTCTCCGGTTCTCTACACTCACCATACGAAACACAGCAACATTAAGCTACTATTTGACGCTGGTATTCTGTGAGAGCGTGGTCCTTCCCCGGTCGAGCCGACCCATTCGTAATATAACTATATCATGACTCTACCACGTAAATAACAAAACAATCATTAGCTAACGACGCTACCTGAGAGTAAAAATATTAAATTTTGTCTTAATTCAAATTTAATTCTCGTGTAACCTTAAGTCATAGATGACAATGTTAAAAAATGCGGTCGTTAAATTCCTCACTAAACAAGGAAATCTGATAAAAACATCCATAAATAAATGGTGGCCGTTTACCAAGACTGCTCCTTCGATGTCAACTATACAAACGTGGTCAAGTGAATTCAAAAGAGACAAGCAAAGCATCGCAGCATAGCAGAAGAAAAAGTAAAAATTACTGAAAAATCTGAATTAGAAGATGCACGAGTGAGAATTGAGATATTAGCAGAAATGACTAAACTATCCGTTGGTGCCGTACACACCATATTGCATGACTATCTCAACCTCCCAAAGGCAGTATAAGATGAGTGCCGTGAATGCTCACTGCGTTTCAAAAGCAGGCGCGGGTTGACTCTTGGAGGGATTTTTTAAGGCTATGTGATAACGACCCATTAAGTGTTTCCTGTAGGGTAGTTCCAGAAGATGAAATGTGGGTTCACCACTATGACGCTGAGAGTAAACAGGAGTCTATGCAGTGGCATAAAAAGGAATCGGACCCCCCCCCCCAGAAGTCAAAGTCACTCCATCGGCCGGTAAAATCATGGCCACAGTGTTTTGGGATTCCAAAAGGTGAAACCATCAACGCGGACAAATACTCAGCGGCGCGCCTCTCCTAGGCTGCTGTACGAGACTGCGGGTTTAAGGAAATGCACCATACACCATACAGCCCAGGTATAGCCCCTACTAGTGACTCTTTCCAGACTTAAGACCTTTAGGAAAAGCGATTTGCTGACGATAATGAACCAAGCCAAGGGAGTAGAAAATCATTTTTTACGAACAAGTAAATGTATTGGTGTCATGGGAGACTGTATTGAAAAATAAAAATAAACAAATTTTCTAACATACCCATACCAAGAATACATTGAACGCCCCTCGTAAGTGACCAAAATTTAAAATATCGAACCATAATAAGGCATGGGACGAGTACTCGGTTTGAATTCGGTACTCGGCGGATTCGGCCCTTTTTTTAGGGTTCGGCCGAACACCGAGTATTAACGACCGAATACAGAGTACTCTGCCTTAATTATATTCCAGAGAAAAATAAAGACAAAAAGCCAGTTTTTATCGTTATTATTATATTAGACACATTAAAACATCAGGAACGCTTCATATACTAAGCCCGACTCTGAAAAAAGCCGTTCACTGTAAACTGAACTGGCGGGTGTTGATAAGTATTAAGCCGCAACTTTTCCCAATATGAGGTAATAACCTTTATTAGAAACCCACCATTTACCTATATGGATTTGTATCTCTTGCGGCCCTTGGTACGTTTAAGTAATGATCTAACTCATGCAAGTATCGATACCAAAGTACTTGGTATCGAAATAAAAGTATCAAGTAAGTACTTGTATTTACTCGTATCGTTTCATCCCTAACTCTGTGTAAGGGAAATAACCGCTCGCCGCCCTCTACCGCGTTTTTTTTAAAGCCGAGTATTCGGTCCAATCTAAGCCGAGTACTCAGTGGCCGAGTATTCGGCGAATCACTACCCGTTCCATGTCTACCATAATTAAAACTAAAGAAAGAAAAACGAGAATTCGCATGGTATATTGTTAACTTTTACATGTTTGTTAAAATAACTACAAGGTTTATTTTAGCTCAAAATAACTGTAAATAAATGAAAATAATGATATTATTTAAAATTTACTGGAACCTAACAAAATATCTTATGATCGTTTTGGGTGTATCTATTAACAAGCTCATAAGGCCATGGAAATCATATAAACCACATGTGACTGAATAGTTATACTGCGCGCTATAAAGGCAGTGTGTTATGTGTAAGCAGTAATTTTCGATTATTTATTAGATGTTCTTAATTATACTTATTATTGATTAACTGTTTACGCTTAATGTGTTTAAAGCCTTAAGTGCTCATACATCATTATGTATTATGATACATAATAATCGCTAGATACATGTTGTAGTTTATTAAATATTGCATTCTTAATAGATAGGTAGCTAATTTGTTGTATAGTGTATGTATACTTGCCTTATACAGAGCTGCAGAGCTTATAACTGTTAGGTTATACATTGTATATTGAAATATGGAGTAGAGAAATTGTCGATTTATTCTTCCATTCCCTTAAAAGATTTGAAAATGTGACAATGTTTTTACTGTTGTAATGTTTGTGATACCTAAGTGATACCCTATAAATGCGAACACGAATGGGTCGGCTCGACAGGATATGAACCGCGCTCTCTCATAATACCAGCTCAATGCTGCTATGTTTCGTATGCCGAGCGTAGAGAACCGGATACCCTTTTTACTGGATACAAGGCACTCCATATTAGTCCTCAGGGGTGACAACGCATTTGCATTTTGATTTTTAATTGTGGATAGATGTACCATCAGGTGGACTGTGTGCTCGCTTGTCACCCTAATTCTATAATAAAAAAATGTTCCGTAATTTTTTCATTCTAAACTTATCCATTTAATCATTCATATCAAAGTTCACTGCTGTAAATAGCCTTCCCCATAGATTGCCTCATATCCCTTATATTTGCCATAGTTGCCACGCTTGACAGGCGGCAACTATGGCAAATATAAGATTGTAACCGCACTTTCTTATTTACAAATTTTTATTAGGAAAGCGCTACTGTTCATCTCCCAGTTGTGCACTGACGCCTATTACGACACCCACATGGGACGATATACACGGTATATGATGATGAATAATGATGATATTTTTTATGGATATGGTACATGGTCAGTACAGAAAGAACTTATAATGTTTTTTATAACTTCATGCACTACGTAATATCATGTCTAAAAAACATTACTTTCAGTTACCTAAATGAAATGAAACTTCCTGGCGGATTTAATTTTTCGAGTATGTCTATTGGTAGCTGTAAAATGCCTCCACAATTCGGGAAAAGTTTGATGAAATATTTATATAAACTTAAAAAAAAGTTTATCCATGAAAATCTTAACATAGATAACGAGGTGAACCAAACAAATTATTTTATTATGTGTCTTAAATACTAACTTACTTAGACTACGTGACGTTAACACTTAATATTATTTATAAAATATCTAGATTTCAAATTATACAACAGGTAATCGAGCGTGTTTAATTTTGTGATATTTATAAACGACTTTTACTTCAAGACAATATAGGTACATATAACATATTATCGTCTTGAAGTAAAAGTTGTTTGTTTCTAATATGCGGAATT